TGAGGCTCCTATATTCTTATATTGCTACCAGTCACCCAGTTTTGTGTAAATCCACTACATCCATACGTTAGGTATGTCAGACTAAAATAAAACTTTAAGATTAACCTTTAAGAATACCTCCGGAATGACAGCTGAAGGCAGGTGCCTGTATATAAGATAACTAGAAAAAAAACTATGTTGCTAGTTATCTCTAAATCATATTGGCATGCACTAAGCAGTAATATTCAACTTACTAAATAGATCAAGGACTGGTTATGAGCAACTGCAGACACTGAAAAGGAGATAATAGAATCCTAAATTGATTCTTAATGTTGCATTCGAGATACAAAACAGGAGACTAGATAACAATGATATATATATTTTTATTTTTTTTATTTTATTATCCACTATCCGGCACTTGCATTTGTGATGTATGTGCCACGGTGCTCCTTCAGCCAAGTTTACATAAATATCTACAAAGATATATCTACATCAGGAAAATATGTCTTTATTAATCACACTCGGATTACATCATATCAACGTTTCAGTCCATATCAGGACTTTCATCAGGGTGAATGATAATATATATATAGTTAAATATTTATATAGATAGCTGCCGGAGATCTAGTAAGGAAGATAGAGAAAGAGTGGTATAAAAGCCTCTGAAGATTAAACAGCAAGTGTTACAGCCTCTCAAGTTGGACAATCTAATCATAGGCTTTTATCAGTGCTCTAATGCTACCTAAATGTGCATTGTGATGCTGAATTTGCATGCCTTGTCTAATAATCAAACACCCCATCCAAATCTAATAGAGTTTCCCCTCCAGTCCCTCCACAAAACACCCATCAAAGGTTTGACGTGTGTTTTGGCGCTATAGTGAGACTTCCTCAGCAACCAAATTAATTTGGCTATCACTAAAAAAATCTAGATTATACAATATTTTATAATATATCACATTATATTAAAAAATATTAGTTTAGATTTGGACGCTAATAGTTCATATTGACAATACTAATAATAGTTTTTGTTCCATGGTGATAGATATTTATATCATTTTTTATGTAAAATCTTCAAAAAGTTATTTTTTAGGCCTTTCCTATCAATCCTCTGCTGTAAAAATGCTTGGTTAAATCTCTTTCTCCTTCTTTGACTTATCCTTAATTTTTAATACAAACATTATATTAGGTATTGCACAGGAGAGGAATACGTGATGGTGTTCAATATGTGAAGGCAGCTCAAACATAATAGAGTGAAACTGCAGGAAATATACCAGTATTTTCCATTGTGGCATACAAATAATATCTTTTGATGGTCATAAAGTTAAAATAGTATTCCAATTGTTCATCAAATAAAGGAAACTACATATAGTCACCTTTATATTAAACACTATATCAATTTCATTAAAACTTACTATCCAGATGTATACACTGAAATATATACGGAGGATAACTAGGAATTCAAGTTTGTATGAGATGAGAGATGACAAAATTTAAGCCAAAAAGTCTGAATTGGAAATGTTTTTAATTTCAGTTGATTTCATTATATTGGTCCATTGCTTCTATTTTGTCTAAAAATTAGCAAATTAGCTTGTTGTTTAATGAATATACCCCACGCAGACAGTGCATATCCCTGGTTTGAGAACAACCTTACAATAGCTTTTAAACAGAAGTCAAATTGCACGTGCATTAACAGTGGGGCTTAGAAGTCAATTAAACTCTCTGCAATAACATATCTGTATTACAGATATGCACAGTTTTATATTGTATATACAAGTTAAGTGATACTTGCACAACTTGAAATCTTTACTGATCTAAAACACAGAGATACATAGAAATGCTTAGAGACATGCATTACGCAAGCTGTCTTAAGACATGCCGTAAAACTTGACATTGCTTGAATAAAACATTTGAATTTATAGTGATATGAATGCTATTTAAGTTTCCTCATGATCTCTTTCTGTATGATTGACTAAATCCCATTTGGATAACCATGAGAGTAGAAAACACTTAAACCTGAGAAATTGATCTAGCCATTATATGCTCTTTGCCAACAAAAAAGTAATCCTGACCTCAAATTTCTACTTTTGTTTCCATATTCTCCCTATCCAACTGATGTAATACTAACGGCATTAAAAAAATGTCTGTGTTGAAGAATTTACTGATCATGGCACCCCAGATGTGGTGAACTCAATTACCCATGATCCTCAGCAAACGTTAAGGGAATGTAAGGTTGCGCAATTGTGGTTGGCCAGGTTTACTGAAAAGCACTTTAGATGTGGTCAAAGTGTATTCATTTAAACATACAGGGAAATAAAGCAGAGAAGGAGAAAAAACTAAAGGAAATGCAGACAAATAAACATTGTAAATATGACTTCTGAGTCCTATACGAGGATATAGTCAAAAATAGTCTTCTCCTAAAATTTTACTCATGGTCAAGATACAGTTATACAAATAATATTTTCTGCAAATTTTAAAATAAAATGACAATGTGATGTTCATTCATTTTTAGGAACAGACTCCTCAATTTAAACCATATATGCACTGAAATAAGATTGTTTTGGATCAAAGAAAACTTTGATTATTTGTCTATCTACACCTTCCAAATTGATTAATTAATGCGTGCACGCTTTCCCTAGAAGTAATTCACACCGGAGACAAAGTTTCTGATCAGTGAAAAACCCAGGAATGCTTTATTGCCCGGAGTGGGGGCTCCTTCTTAAAGCAAAAATACGTCACAGTTTAAACATACAGTATACATTCACCAATTGGTTAACAGAGAAAGGGGCCTCTTGTTTAAACCCCCCTACAGAATGTAGTGTCATCATTACACACTTTTAGATACACGGAGAAAGGGGGAGTGAGTGGTATCTATCAGTTCTAAACCAATGATCCTCCATTTAGCTATATATGGCATATAGCTGTTAACTGGCACAAAGGGGAGGCTAGCAGGATGTGAGGAATTTACATAGTAAACAGCAGCTGACCACATTGTAAGGGGGGGGAAGGGAACATTTACTCTAGAAGCCAGTTTTAACATAGTGAACAGAGAATAAATAGACATTAGTAAATAGCCATTTTATTTTAATTCATCTGTCCATAACAGTCCCCCCTTAAAATGGCAATTTTTACTAAAACTACTATCTCTCATTCTAATACTGTCCCTATAGAAAAATAACAAAAGGCTATCTTGCACATCTGTCTGAACAGGCCTCGAACACTTCACTGCGCGGGTACCCCATAGCAGCTTGTCCACTACTTCTCCCGCGGCAGACTTCTGCCCGTAGAGACAGACGCTATCCCTAAATGTCCTTAAGAGGAAGTAGCTGTTGATTTAGTGCGGTGGGACTGTAAGGGTGTATGTGGTGTATCACGGTCGATATCGTCAATCTCTTGGTGAAGGAAGGTCGGGGTGGTCTGGTCGATTGCCTGATCAACTGTCTTTTGTAGGCATTTCTTAAGACAGGGTAACACACAACAAACAAGAAGAGCGAGGATGATTATCGTTATTAAAATGGCAACACCTATTTGGGCCAGAGCACCTTGCCATTCAGACATCCATCCAAACCATCTTTCCCATGGATCTGTGGCCCCAGAATTTCGTTTCAGTTCATTGGACAAACTCTTTAACTTTTCTATTGCCAACGTTACCTTACCATTAGGGCCTGTATTATCTGGAATATAGGTACAGCATGTCATGGTGTCTGGGAGTATTTTACATACTCTCCCTTTTTCTGCTAAAATCATTTCCAAGCTTATTCTATTCTGGAAGGTCATCTGAGAGATAGTTTGTAACCGCCCTATCCCACCATATATCCCATAACAAGTATAGTTCCCGGGCTATATAGTAATGCCTTCGTCTGGGTTAATATTTTTAGTAATGATTGGGTATTAAGTTTCCATGACTCGCATGCTGACCGCTTAGGTTTAAATACAGTGTAGAGACTTAAAACGCATACTTCATATCCGGAGGAAGGTTCAGGGATACTGTACCTGGGTGAGGCCTCGCTCCTCTGCAGACATAGCAGTTAGACTTGTTATGTTTAGTAGCATTGTATTTCATCCATTCAAGTCACAAGTTAGTGTCAGAGAAACCTGTCTCTACAGCCCTCTTATCCTCAAATATGGGATGACTACCATGTCTTTTAAAGTCCTAATGTGTGGTTTGAGGGGATTAACAGTCATGTGCGTGGCACCTACCCATTCAGCTGAGTCATACATGTCCTGTAAGAAAAAGGTCTTCTGTTTATTGTATAAACCTCTTCCCTTCCAATTCAGATTTTATTAGCCGTAATGCTTGGGAGAATAGATTCAAACTTAGTTTCTTACCTTAAAATTATTTGGTACCCCCCTTGACACCCCTATGGCATTAATATACATATATATATGTGTGGGTAAAACCACCCTTTATAGGGGTACTCCTTTTTGTCCTGAAGCATGAATGAGGTGTGTCAAGAGTACCTTGGGGATTGTCATGTGTTATGTGTATGGACATAATAACCTAGGCTAGGGCACATTTACTTATTCTTAGAAATCTTGTCTCATGCTACCCTAGTACTGGCAGATTCAGATCATTTAAACATTCAATATTAATATCACCACAAACTCAAGATAAGCAGATGATCTTGAAGAAGCTTTGACTGTGCGTATGGCACCTCAGACGTGAGGGCTGCAGGGTAAGGAGTATGTTTGTTTCTCTTTAGTTTCACGAGGTCCCCTTTTGGGGTATTCAGCTTTCCATCGATGGCAGGTGGTCAGGCATTATTATGGCCATCAAAACACCCACTTGTTGATATTTATTTATTTATTTTCAACAAGTATCTTTGTTCTCTAAGAATGGAGTTTCAAAAAGGGTTGTCAAGATCAACAAATGTTACTTCACATGATGCAGAGGCAGGCTTGATTCTGGAATGATGAACCCACGGGGTGATCTCTGTATCTTTCACGGTGCACTACTCAGCATGTGGTCTTGGTTATCACTTTGGTGGCTGGATAGGCCTCTGGCCATCCTGAAAACATGTCTGCTATAATTAGTGCATATTTGAATCAGCCATTCTTTGGCATTCTGGCGACTTGACTCCTCTGGAAGAGATAATGAGGTTTGGCTAGATGCTTGGGGCTTTCATCCATTCTTCTTGAGTTGCCCTTGGCACAAATGGCACAAGATTTACAGTAACTGTTGGTCAGAGAGGCAATTCCTGGTACTTCAGAGTATTTATTGATCAAAAGAGTTCATGAGGGTTCTGGACAGATGCTCCGTAGGCCCACTTGACCACTGCTGAGTATATGTTCTTGGGCAAGTATAACTTGAGATTGTTGAAGTACAGCCTGTCTTTAAGAGTTGCCCCTTTCTGTTTCCAGCTTGTGGTTTGTTTGTTTTTTCTTTCTTTCCAGGGTCAGTAGCTTGCTTGTTATTCCTTCGGGAGCTTGATGTCTGTGGGTAGGATCTTACATGGTGAATATGGGAGTTTCTTCAGCAGACACTTTTCTGTCCACTTCCCTTAGTGCACTTACAACTTTTTGAACAACTTAGTCAGCCAGAGAGCTGCCACATGCTTCCTCTGAGTTCAGTCTTCCTTCAGAGATCTTGCATGGTGTGATGGGAGTCTATAGCTCAGCTTCTTGTGCAGACATTGTTGAGGTGAGATACTTGGTCCACTGTAGTGACAGCAAATCCGGAACAGAACATAAGAAAAAGGCTAAAAAAAATAATAGTCAGTGTCTTATCATTTCCCCCCTTGGGAAGTGGCAGAAGAGTGGCCAGGTAAATAGAGTATCATCCCTGCAGGGTGACATTATCCTGCACAGAATTCGTCCATCACAAGGAGAGGTGGGATATTGCATGGAAAGTCTCAGGTAACCAGGGCAACATTCGACACCAGAGCCTTAACCTGTTAGGGAATAGTAAGAGCTTGGACAGGCTTTGGGGCCTGTATAATTCAGGTAAAGGTATTGGGGGAACTAGCTAGGACCCTTGCCTCTTGGTCAGGTTTCACTGTGTGGAACAAAATGAATAATAAGGTGATAGGGGCCTGCAAGTGGGGGAAGGACATCTGCACCTAGCAGATTAATTGGACAGGTGAAGGTAACCACAAAGCAAGGCTTAGTTAACAGGCTACTCCAAGGAGAGCCATCTACACTTATGCAGGAGACAACAATGTTAGACAGGAATGAGGAGTCAGGCAGGCCTTGCTTGGTACAAATAGATGTCATGTGGCCTGCTATACAAGGCTGCATATAGTTATTGGGCATGGGCCTTACTATGTACTAAAACTTAAGTTAAAAGAAAATTTGGGACAACCTGAAGTGATGCTTCTCCACAGATGCTAACTCATCGTTGATGACATTGTTAATACAGGTAGCCTGATCAGCCAATTTATCTTAGGCTTAAACAAGTCACACCATGTAGTGGAATGGGTCATTAGGATTCGGGAAATTCTACAGTAAAAGGGCATAGTAAGGATGTACGCGATGTTACTTTAGGAGTAGGCGTGGCTGTGGATAGGGGGAAATCAGCCTTATCCATTCCCATATATTATTCCTTTTGTCTTCAGTATATCCAAACCATGTGTATGTCCAGGCGTTGCAATATACAGTAATCCATTATCAGTCATGATAGTAAAATCTCATTCTCATTAATTAAATCAAAGATTTTAAATCAACCTCAGAAGTAACAACATTGTTTTTACCTTCTGTAAAATGATTGGAGTTACTGTATAATTGCATACACCCAATATAACATACATTGCATGTTCCTCACTGCTACATTAGTGTATTTCATTCTGCCATATTTGCAAACTTGATGTACATTTTTATTTTAATTAATTAACCTAATACTTTCTTAAAATACATATAAAACAATGAAAAAACAGTTCAGACTAACATTTCATTAAAACAAACTAACATAGAACTCTATTCTTGGCTGTTCTTAATTCTGGAATCAGCCTGTGTACCTCTGTTGGCAGACATATCCATGCTCATTCCCTAAACTGATCATATCTCTTGAAGTTATCTGATTCTTATAACTTTCTGTGTTACGCTGCATTGCTTGTCTGTCTCCTAATTTCGATTTAGCTAAAATTGCTTTTATTTGTCTGATTATAAGTTTACAAGGAAAGGCTTTAATTGATTTATCTCCACATGTATTTTCTCTGTCAAAATTTTCAATCAACAAATTTAATTTCTCATTTGCTTTTGATTTGATATCTCGGATAAAATATCTGCAAGATCTTAAATAATGTTGTTTATTGCACCAAAAACAAATAACTTTAGGAGTTATATTCTGCCCTATATTATCAACTGCCCTATATTTAGTTGAATAAATTGGGAGGGGCTCAGCTGTCTGTATCACTCTACACTCTGTCCTAGAAGAAGAAGAAGAAGAAGAAGAAGAAGAAGAAGAAGAAGAAGAAGAAGAAGAAGAAGAAGGAGGACGACGGGGCTGTAACATCTGCACTTCTTTCTCTGCCTAAAGCCACAAGTCGTTTTAACCCCTTCATTCTTGGTTTCCCTCCTTAAGTTATCCAAGAACAAAGCTACTTCTGTCAAAGTGCTTTTTTCTCTAGCTACCACAATTGCAGTTGGATCTAGATCTTGAAATTTTTTCACAAATTCATTAATTAACTGATCTTCAGAAAAATCAGCAACAAGTCTATATGCATTTTCAAATTTTACAAGAAAACTAAATATATCCTCCCCCTTGTGTGGTTTTAGTTTTTCCAACATTTCAGTGTCTGCAAAATCATTCCCTGTTGTTAATTTTATTAATTGTGTTAATCTGTCTCGCTTATTTCCATATATTATTTCACCATTGTCCTCAAATTTTACAATCGCGGTCAGCCTACATGCCATTTGAGTCGGCAGCCATATTTGAAATAGTCTATTCCTTTGTACGTCATTTAGGCTGTATTTGTCTAAATTAGACTCAAACATTTCAGCATTAGTGAATGCATCCACTGACGTGTCATAAACTGGAATACATTTCACAATTTTCATTAATTGTTCATGGATCTTCAAATTAAGTTTTGCAGCTCTGTCTTGAAATTTATATTTCTGCAAATCACTCTGTGAGGATACATTTTCAGTATCTATTGGTTCTGGGATTAGATTCTGTGCCTTTATTTTTCTTGTATTAACACACACTCGTGCTTAACTTCATTTCTAAGCTGGCAAATAAGATCATTTCTTAGTTCAACTCTATCCTCTAATTCACAGACTGTTTCTGACAATGTTCTCTCTGTTACATTGTTACACTGTTCATTTAAATCTGATTTGTCTTCTGTTAACCCATTCAAATCTATTTCTTTTTCTGCTGATTCTAAATTTTCTTTACCTGTATTTCGTTTACAAATCAATGCATTGTAAGTACAGACTAGTTTCATAACATTTCTGATCTTTTTTTTCTTTTCTTTTTTTTTTCTTATTAACAAACAATTTCTTGTCAATTTCACTATTGGCAATTTCACATTGTGTGTATAAAGATTGCCACAATACAGCATCTGAATAGCTGCTATTAAATGCAAACTGCAATTTACTTTTCTCTGCAATATCATTTATAAATTCCACAATTCATTTGTTCCAACAAAATCTAACTTTCCTTATTCCAACATGCCAATAACCTCTTGCTTAACAACATATACAAGATTACACAAAGTTCCTAACTAGGTTATTCGTCCAGCAAATATACCTTGTTTCCCTCACATTCCTCACTGAGTTTACAAGCATTTCACCCATTCACCCCACCCCCCTGTAGCCAATACTCATAGCAGTCAGAGCAAGAGAAAGCAACAAAGAAGGAGGGGGGAGGAGGGAGGAAGACTTGCAAGCACAAAGTTTTTTAACCATGTGATTGCCTAAGCACAGCTCTCCTTAGGACAAAAGATAGAATAGGAGAGTAACGATACAAATTGTATAGATTACAATTAACATATATGGTACCCAACAAGACATACACAGACAAAAGCACAAAATACAGATGTAATTAAATCACAAAGTTCTTAAAATAAATGCCGGCTTACAATAAATCAAATCACACACACAGAAACACTCAAGCACATAAACCGCTCCTTTACCGAAGCTTAGCTATTTAAACTCTTGACCGAGTCCCTCAATAACTTCTCTACCGAAGTTTTAGTTAAAATACATTTTTTTATTTTTTTATTTTTTTATTATTATTTTTTATTTATTTTTTTTTTTATTATTTTATTTATTTATTTATTTATTTATTTTTTAAACTCTTGACCGAGTCTCGCAATAACTTCTTTACCGAAGCTTAGCTAAAATAAATATAGAGCCAGGGGTTTTCCACCAAACCCGAACTTGGCTAAACCTGCAAGTGCTTAACCACACTTGGCAGCATTATATAACAGTATTAAGCAAGTAGTAAAACAGATTCTCAAACAGACACTTTCACACATAAAACTCACACTCAGGACTCAGGCTGTAGATAGACAAGTGACAGGTTCTATATAAAAGGGGACATTCGGGCATATATATATTACCTGTCTGAAGACGTTAAACACCGGAAGCCGAATGTGAAGGCACGGAGAACAAGAGAAATCCAAAGAAAGGAAAATATAGGTAAGTAACTCATTTACCATATGCAGAGGTGATCAGGCTCCGTTTCCAATCTCTGGGAATCCTTTGCTCTCCTGTCTTGGGATCTGACGGCTGCCTTAGTAACGTATCCCTTAAATGCCCGCATTCTCCACCAAATTGTTTTGGATCAAAGAAAACTTTGATTATTTGTCTATCTACACCTTCCAAATTGATTAATTAATGCGTGCACGCTTTCCCTAGAAGTAATTCACACCGGAGACAAAGTTTCTGATCAGTGAAAAACCCAGGAATGCTTTATTCCCCGGAGTGGGGGCTCCTTCTTAAAGCAAAAATACGTCACAGTTTAAACATACAGTATACATTCACCAATTGGTTAACAGAGAAAGGGGGCCTCTTGTTTAAACCCCCCTACAGAATGTAGTGTCATCATTACACACTTTTAGATACACGGAGAAAGGGGGAGTGAGTGGTATCTATCAGTTCTAAACCAATGATCCTCCATTTAGCTATATATGGCATATAGCTGTTAACTGGCACAAAGGGGAGGCTAGCAGGATGTGAGGAATTTACATAGTAAACAGCAGCTGACCACATTGTAGGGGGGGGGAAGGGAACATTTACTCTAGAAGCCAGTTTTAACATAGTGAACAGAGAATAAATAGACATTAGTAAATAGCCATTTTATTTTAATTCATCTGTCCATAACAAGATGTATGTATGATATAACTAGCTAAATATATATTGATTTACATAAGTCAGCCTGGGTAGTCCAAGTTGGTGCATGAATGCAATGGCAGTCTTTTAATCTATTCTATCTCAAGTTCTTATCGTTGATATGTTCTGGAACACTAATATCCCTTGGACCTTCTCTTCATCCTACATTTATCACTACTATTATCACAATTTCATGAATATTCTTTATCCATATGCATTCAGCCAAAGTTAATGTAAATGTTAACTGCAGTAGTTCAATATTAACCTTAATCTAATTCCATTAAAACAATAGTCAAACAGAAAGCATTTGTGAATTACTAAAAGTTACTGCTACTCAATGTCCTTTCAAATACATTAAATATCATCTTTTCACCCCAGCTAACATGAAGTTGACAAAGTATCTCACGACATATAAAAAGGATAACTGATAAAAAAAAATAAAAACCACATAACTGAAAGAAATCAATGAAATCTACCGCTTAATGACATTTTAACCAGAAGAAACAATTAGCCTTCTTGGTGCCTCAGGCTTTTAGTGAATGCCTTATAACTTATCAAAACACTTAATCAATACCCATCACACATGTATTTGCTTAATAGAAGACCACCCAGACCACTCCATCTCAGGGTTTTAACCCTGTAATGTAAAACAGAAACTGCAATGTTTCCATTGCAGGGTTAAACACACCTCTCGTGGTTCTTTTCCTAAAGGCCACTAGAGGCGCTTCCCTGTGAGAACTGAGTCATGCGCATTAGCCTTCATATGGGGAAGCATTTGATTAGATTAAATCATCAATCTTGTTGATCTCCGCAAGGGGGGAGAGCAGTCGCAGTGAGGGAAGAAGGGTAACTAAAACTTACCTTTCAAACACTCATGTGGTAGGGGACACCTACTTAGGTAGGGAAAGAGAATAGCATTAGGAACATTATTTCTAACTCTGCTGTGTTCCTCCAACAGCTGTAATGAAGTTACCAAAATGGGAGGTACATTCAATTATGTACTTATATCTTACTTCAATTACTTAAATACTCTCCTGGTGTTATGTGAAGGGTTGATTATAGTTAGTCTTCAAAGTCATAACTATTTTTGGTCCATAATCCCATCCATTCTGCCCCTTCCTTCCAACAAGCAGTTTTACAAATGCTTTGATAACATATCTTCGATTTCTGGTTGCAGTACCCTAGAAAGCTGACTATTGAGCATCATATCACAGAAATCAGTGTTTTACCCATAACTCACTTGTATTTAAGCTTCTGACCTAGGCAGGACTCACTGCTAAAGCTGTGGATATGCAGCGAATGCAAGAACTTCAAATGTGACTATATGTGTTTCTTTTACTACATTTAATTTAATGTTTCTATCTTTTAATGTATTATTTATTTAAAGTATTAAACTACTTACATTTCTAACCTGAAGTCTCCCTTTATGCAAACAGAGCAATTTTCTAAGATGTAGCAAAATAGATGAAACTGAGGAAACATAAAGACATTTAGAGCTAAATTGTACTCATAAATGAAACGATAACTGTTAAGAAGTGATATATGTTACCCTTCTAATCTGCAGTATAGTGCCGACATTCTTTTTACCTAAAACCGTCTGGTGATTATTTTCACTGATACAAAAAAAAAAAAAATATTTACAATATGCTAAATCCTTTATAAGCACCCAAACCCATGCATTGAAAACTTAAGTGGTTGCAGTCAAATAAATTCAAATATAATTTGCGAGTCATATTATACAAGGGTTATATACAGGACAAATCATTTTATAATCTATATAAAGATTTGCTATTTTATACAACACTTTCATATTGTAGAATATATATTATGAGCTTCCAACAGAATAGAATGCCCAAAAGCTAATAAAATTTTATTTATTTTTTAAAACACAAGGGACCTGAAACTGAAAAAGAGAACGATTATTTCACAGTATTTACAGTACATTTAAACACTTACAGTAAGTTATTGTACACCCCACTTCTTTATTGTTTGCGATTAAATGAGTGACACAGCAAATCTATTCTGCTTCCAGCAGCAGTAAAATATGTTACCCAAAGCATAACACTTTGTTCTTTCTTTCCACACTGTTGGGTTTATCAAGAAAACAATGTGCATCTATATTGGTACTTTAAAAAAAAAGAAAGTACAGGGTCATGAACACAGTATTTATAAATTTTCAGAGCAGATTGGAGACTAAATTGATTATCAGATAAACGTATAACAATATTTACTTCTAATCATGACATATGTATATGTATTTCTCGAATAAGATATTAAATATACATATATATATATGCATGTGATAATGGGTATATCATTTTAATAGAATAAATATGGGCTTGGAAAAATATTGATAGATTTAATTGGTGTAAGACAAGGAGCAAAAGAGAAAAATGTCTTACCAAAAAGAAAAATCAGGAAGAAAACTTTTTTTTTTAGGGGGGCTCGGGGGGGGGGGGCTCTAGAAGGCCGGCCCCAGTGAAAGATCTGGCAAAACTATTTACAGCATTTTTGTTTTAAATTAGTTTTTTTTTTTTGCATTTTCATGATGCATCTTTTGTGTTTAACATTTGTAGTTTTTTTTTTTCTTTAATAAAATTGTTTCAATGAATCTTTAGCAGTTGATTTAGCAGATAATAAGAAAATATGTATTGGAATATATTTTGAAAATGCATCTTTTGAAAATTGAAATGTTGGCAGTAAGAGAACAGTTTATGAAGAAAATTAAGGGGCTGTTTCCCAAATCTATTTACTAACGTAGTAGCAAGACTTCAGATTCATGAAGTATAATATTATGTGCCTTTAATGAGACATCTCCAAACGGACTATTGAAAGTTACTCCAATCTCCTTGACCACTTCTGCTTTTAGAAGTGGTAATGCGAAAATCTATCTGTATGTGCAATTTCAACTTGAGACACTGCCTATATAGAGAAACCAGCTATTTTGTGCTGATGTCTAACAGCACCCCTGGCACGCATGACATAGGCAGCCCAAGGCTCTGTGCAAAAATTATACCTGTTGTCAGCACATACTGCACTCTGATTTACATAATCACTGTGAAGCGTGCATGCACGGAGGAGGCAAGCACGCTGGAGCTGATGGACCGAAAGTCGTTATGACGTTCTATGCTGCCGCAATGACTTTAAAGCCCATTATATTGCTGCTGGCATAGAACGCCTTAGCGATGTTATGGGGTTAATATATATATAATATACATATTAAAATACACTTGCAATAAGAGCGTATGTGTGTGTGTAAAACTTATATCTAACTTTTTCAAACTTTTTTACAGGCATATAGGGGACTACCTGACATCCCAGGCATTCCTCCTGAAGGCAGAGCTGCGGACAGCCATTTTGGCCATACGATCGTGAGGACCTTGCGATCACATTGCCTGGAAGGGCCTGATGAGCTGCAAGGGGACTACCTGTGATGTCAGGTGGTCCCCCCAATTGCGACCGCTGGTGGGGGATTGGTAGGGAGCCAGTAAGTATAAAGGACTGCGGGAACATTCTATGCTGTCTGCTGACATTAAGGGGATAAAAACTTTTGTATCTGTAAAGGATGCGTATGTAAAAAAGTGTATTTATATATATATCTGTATATAATAAGAGCAGCATCTATGACTTTTGATGCTGAGTATCTTATCCCTTTATCACAACATTTTAGAAATTGGCTTCTGGGTATCATCTGTCCTTCATGCATACACACTGTCGGTAGTGGAGGGTTAATAGTTAAAGCTAGGGAGGTATATAGTTGCATTTAATGTCTGTAGAAATATCCAATTAACACTGCCTTTCAGACACTTGTTCCCTGGTATTAAAGCATTACAGGCTGAAAGGTGAAACCAAGCCTGGATGCTTACATTATCTATCAATTTAATAACAGCTTTCACAAAGCTGCCAGACTCGGCCCCTCCAGAGCAAGTGGAGATTTTTGTTTGCCACATCTTTCTTACTATAACACAATGTCAAGGGGCTGTGGCCATAGGCTGAAAGAAACCTATGGGAAATTCAGTTTTAAAAAGTAATTTAGTCTGAAACATGATTCATATGTATCGTGGGTATTAAATAGTTTCTGATAGCAGTTGGAAGGTTAGATAAAGCATGGAACAGAGAGGATGTAGCCACTTAAATGATGTATCAGTGCCTATGAACGAGTTGCACTAGACTCATTAATATTCATGTTTTAAGAACATTTATGCAAAAAGAGACACTTTCTTATGTACACATATATTTTATATACCTTCTTTTCTCACACACAATCACTCACACACAGACACACATACATAGAAATCACAAAGTATTAATAATCACATTTAAAAACTGTGTGCAAAATTAAGAGTAAACCATTCTCTTAAAGGTGTAAAATATACTGCTAAAACGAGCTAATTGGTTGTGGCTAACTGCCCAAAACCTAACCCACTAGAAATACATTATTTTAGCCCTAAATTCTCATTGAACAACAGTTAGTGCCACCTTATTACCACCAGCCTTATATATAACAAGGATCTTGAGATACTCTCACCTCTACATTTATCAGAGTGCTATTAACTATAGCACTTATTATAACTGCACCAGAGGATGTTCAGTTGATCAGGGCTGCAAGGCATTCTAATATATTGTGATAAGGACTGGGACCCTATCCACCTTTATTTCCCCGAAAATAAGACTGAGACTTATATTATTTTTTCCACCAAAAAATGTACTAGGGCTTATTTTCGGGGGATGTCTTAATTTTCAGGGGAAAATGGTAGCAAGCATGTGCAACAAAGCAGGTCTACGTTCGGGGGAATTTTCTCGAACATAGACCAGTAGGGCATGGAATCCTGCAAATCTATGTTCCTGAAACTACCCTGGAAATTCACTGAAAATAGATTAGCAAACTAGAGAAAGTTAAACTACAAAGCTAAATAGACAAAGATACCAGATTTAGAGCAGATGCTAGCAGGACTAATCAATTGTAGTACTTTCCTTTTCTTAACCAGTAGAAA